AACCTTTATGCACTCTCCTCCGATAACTACAGGAGGGAACTTATGACTAACTGAAGCAAAAGAAATGTGAAGCTCCTTACATTTGTCCAGGGCAACAAAATGAGTGTTTTTATAAGAGTTGCAAAAGATTGCTGTTTTTCTTTGTTTTGTAGTCATCCCGGCTCAAGTGCAGTCACCTGTACAATCATCAGCTTTTGCATCAGGAGTAGTAGCGAGAGAACTTCTCTGGAATCTAAACCAATCGCTTCAAGAGTTTGACGTTGTTCCTTTTTCATTTCCTCTCAGCCTAGTTCCCCTAAAGAAGATGAAATCTACCCCCTCAAAGTCCATCTTTACCAACTAACTAGCTTGCAAACGATTTACCCCGCGCAGGAACCTGGAAAAAGCGTAAAAGCTTCGTAAAAGGCCATCACTTATCCCTTTTTTAACTACCAAACTTCCAGGAGCACTGGATGGCATATTGGAAAAAGTCTCGGTGTTTTCTTCTGGTTTATAAATTACACTTTTGATTGGTTACGATGAGTCCGAAGTTCAAGTATACAAAAGCAATTTATGTTCATCTCTTCTTCTGCTGGCGTAGCGGACCGTGTGCTATATTTTGAGCACGCGCAGAAGTTAACCGGAAACAATAACTAAACAATGTAGACATGCGCAGTTAAAACCGGAATCCCACGATTTCAGGGATAAAAATTCCATTCTCCTAGAGCCCATTATTTGGCGATCATACCCCTGACAACCAGCCAAAATGACCCTGGGCTCGAGATTGCCCTTGAGAAAGTTCAAGTTGCCCGCGGGCTACAGTGAAGTGACGTGGGTTTTCATGAGACGAAAGGTTTTACACTCACTTGCTCGCAAAGCCTTGCTCGTTCGTTTCTGACAACAACCTTGTGGGTAAATATCATACGTCAGCACTTTCCATGAAGAAATCTAGATATTCTTAACATCGAGATAGGAATCTTCATTTTTCAGAATATCAAATAAAGGTTTTTTTAATTTCTTTTTTGATCGATTTTTTTGGAAAAATTTAAAATTCATTACGTATCCCTATCCAAATTTTGACACCAAAATGCGAGTTAGTCTTTCTAAGTACATTTTATCAAGAGTTCTTACGAGAACTAAATTTCGTAGCATAAGAAGGTGACAGGCACAAGTTTTGCTTCAATAAATAAAGAAATGGCATGTTTTTTCGATCAGTTAAGTAAATTAAACAGGGGCCTACAGAGTAATATGAATTTCTTAAAGGGAATATATATACTTGCAGCTAAAATAGCGAATAGCTGTTTTTTCTTTCTTATGATATTTACTCCTGTGAAGTTCTTGATCCCTCTCGAAAGTTATGGCGCTTTTATTAAGTCGGGGGTCTTTGTTGATCAGGTTCAATCTTTCTCTTTATATGATAATAAAGTTTCAAGAGTTTTCATTAGCTTAGCCAGCATGGGTTATGAGTCTTTAGACTATGCGCATGCACGAAGACGAGTTAATCGAGAAGTGTTTTTGAACATTGTAACATTCCGTTTGTTCTTTCAAAATATAGTTGGGAAGATTTATATACATTTGGGGCGTTTTAATGAAACAGTTATTCTACTCGCGCTTGTTGGATATGAGATGATTATAGCCAACGAGGCTCGTAGTCTCATATCCGACGCGCGCTAGGAGAACAATTGTTTAATATCCTCCTTCAATTCGACTATTACTAGCTGCGACTATCAACCAAGAGCTATATTCAGTCTTTAACTATTTCGCCGTCATTTCGGCCCGGTTGAAACCTCTCGACCTTATGAGCTTCTAATTCAAGGTCAAAATGCATGCAGTTTGAAAAAAGATGACTCTATCAAAAAGTGTGAATTTCTTATGAGGAGGCATAACTTTTGAGCTTATGAGCTTCTACTTCAAAGCCAAACTGCAATTATTTTGAAGAAAGGTGACTTTATCAAAAAGCGCGAATTTCCTATGAGGAAACAATAATTTTGAAACGTCTGGTGATAAAACTATCTTCGCCTTCATTCTGCTAAGAATATAGAGTTGCGACCATCAAACACGAGCTTTATTCAGTTTCTAACCATTTTGCGATCGTCTCGGCCTAGTCGAGGTCTTTTTAATACTTATGAGCCTCTGCTTCAAAGTAAAACTTCATGAGTTTTGAAAAAAGAGATGACTCTAACATGAAGTGTTGTTTTCACTTACTGATGCCAAGTTACTGAATCGAGGGTAGAGCCGCCATTCTCAAGAAACCTATTCAGTCACAAAGAAAATATTTTTAGCTGCAAGTACCAGCCTAATGTAGAATATTTAGTCAAGGCAGCAGATTAAAGAAATCGGAAGACACTGATTAGAGTGTAAGAGGTTGACAAAAAAAGACTATCTCCCATGAATGTATGTGTTTAACGTTTCTACAACCTGTGCAGAAATCAGTCGGCTCTGATGATGAATTCCAGTCAGGTCGGCGACACATCAGTCAGAGTCACAGACATCATTCTGAACAACCCGGAAGACCAGACTACACAATCAACAGTATTTGTGGTTGCATTTAGCATGGAGCTTAAGGAAAACATATTTAAAATCCTAAGATTTAGATATGGATAATTGTTACCTGATTTCCCGTTGACTGATGTCTTTAACATTAGAATCACATAAAAGTAGGTGTATGCTCCTCTGTTTAAATCAAACTTCGCTTTAAGATTCATGAACCCGAAAAACCATGATGCAACACGAGCCCAGTTAGGCCAAAACGGATAGTTTTCCCCTTGAAGGTGAAGGCATTGGAATACCCTATTTCATTTCAAGACATGAGACGCGAATCTCCTGTATTTTTCAGGATAGGGCATGGAAATCCCCTGTTTTGTTTGAAGATGAGGAGTCAGAATTCATCGTTTATTACCTACGAGGTAATAAACGATGAATAATAAAGATTACACGATGAATAATAAACCTATGAGGTAATAAACGAGTCGAGGCTGTGTTACATCTGGTCCAACAAGAAAGTTGTTGATGCCACGGATCTGTGACAACAGCATCCTAACTTTCTTAAAGTCCTTAGCCAGTTGCTCAGGCGAAATAGCGAAACCGAAGGGTAGCAGTTGTAGATGATAAGGTTCTGCCGTAGACAAAGAAAAAGTCTTTATCATTTTGATGCGAAAGATAAAGTAAACATTTTGGGGGCCTTATGAAAACCTCTATAATACAGTACACAATTTTCATTACACTCCTTTGAAAGGTGGGGTAAAATAAAACGTATTTTGGTTTATGTAATATTTAGTCTTTTTGATATTAAAAGTAAACTTTTAGTCTCTGTATCTTCTAGAATTCGCTGTATTATCACGATGATGAAGTTTATTATTTTATCATTCGATTATAGAGCTCGTTTGTCCTAATAATCTGTTGAAGCCGGAGAGCCTAAGTAGAAGAAAATAACACGCTTACGCATGAGCAAACAATCATTCGTTTCAGCAGGTTATATACATGGGTGTCCGCTTGTAAAGAGGGAAATTATGGTGCAACTTAAAATCTGACTGTGAGGTTCAATTAAATGCACGAGTAATAGTACAATTTCAATAATTAAAACCAGCAATATGCTAATTTACGCGTCCTTCTCTTACCGTTGCCAAGCTGCCATCCAAATTGATATCTTCTCTTAGCGACATACGTCATTATTCTTAAGGCGTTGCTTGGATCCCACGAGCCGTCTTTGAATCTTTTCATAAGGCTCAAACCGAAAACTACTTTAAGGCCGGCCGTGTTTGCGATCTGGCTGATTCTGTCTTAATCTTCGCCGGAAATAATCAAAGTTTGTTTTCCAAAAGGCTCTCTCTTTTCTTCTTCCCGAGACTGAAAAATTACATAGTGGCTGCGAGTACCGCCAATTCGAACATAAGCCGGCGAAAGAGCTCTCATCAGGGCAATTATTCGTTCCTCTGCGGTAGTGGTAAAATTCCACTTCAAAATTGTCTTCCAAGTCTAGCAAAAGGATACAAACTGTTTTTCGACCCGTGCTATCTCTTTGTTTGTCTCTATGTTTACAATTTTATTCATAATGACCTTCTTTGGATCATGTGGGGGTGCCTTTTCCTTTGTACGAAACTTGCAGCCTAGCAAGGCGATAAGCAAGGAAAGAAACACGAGTGCGATGAATAGTTGTTGTCAATAGGCCAGAGAAAGCAGCGGTTCTAAGGTTGCGCGATAGTCGCTGGTTGCGTCTTCCCCGTATGAACGCCATTCTGAAGTGAAAAATAAGCCGATTTGGGGGTAAACAACACTGGATATTCTCAAGAGAAGAATAATTTATGTGAGAATTTCTGTCGTTGAAATTATCGCAGGCGTGTAACAAAGGAAAGAAGTCCCCTGGGATGCCTCAATTGTCCGAGAGGACTCTTTTGGTGGGTCAGGCGATGTACCAAGTTCATGAAGGACAAGTGCGTTGGGATCTACAGCACTCTGTGGAGATATAGAAAGAAAAACGGTCAAGTTTAAGAGTCATTATATTGGAACAAATTTCAGAGTTATAGTCAATGCCATTGTCTTTCAACAGACGATGGTTATGATGAAACTATTCCTTGTGAACAGATATGTCTGGGAGGTACTTGAATCATAAACAGCCACGTACATATCATTGTTATCCAACCACGCAAAGTAGATCTAGAGTACAAATTACGCGCGAATAGAGTAAGAATATCTTGTAAAATATATACCTTATGAGACGTTTGGGTGTGTAGTATCGCTGAGTATTTTAACGTGTTGTTTTTTGTATGATTCACCCTACGGGCTTGTCAAAATTCGCACCTTGAACAAGTTCAGGTTGCTCCTGGACGATGTGTGTGTGTGAATAAAAAATAACATTGTTTTTTTTTTTTTTGTAATATATTGAAAGGACGTATCAAGATGAATGTGCTCTACGAGGTGTAGAGTATTCCAAATTCTCTGTTGTGTTGGAGCGCATTTGACCGACTGCGTAAATAACCGATCAGAACAAAAGAAAATCTCCTGGCTATTATGAGAATCATTACTTCATTTCATTTTTCACTCTAATGATAATTTTTTTTTCATGTTTCGTTTCAAAATTATGTTTGTAATTTAACTAGTCGAGTAATGAATCTGTAATTAGGGAAACTACTTTCATGAGTATTTGGCACCTTACTCTACGAAAATGCCATAGGAACTAACAAACAATTCACTAAACGACTGTTCACAACATGGACGACGACGTTACTGGGGAATATGACCCTCGATCATTTTTGCCACGAGCCCGGGGCCAATATTCCCTCGCGCGCGGTTAGTAAGAAGTTATTAGCTCACAAAAATCTCCATTTTAGCCCGCAAAATGCGCAACAATGCCCGAGAAATAGTTATTCTTAAAAGGTTTTTTCTCTGTATTTCTCTCATGTGGTTTCCATCTAGTACTGTCAGTATGTTCCCTGGCGTTTTTCTACTGCAAATGTTTTTCTTCGGTTTTGTTAGATCTTACCAAAGACTGTAGGAAATTAGGGAAGAAAACAATTTTGTAAAAAATAAACTATTGTGCAGTTTAAATAGTAAAATAAAGAGTAATCAAAAGAAATTTTGTGTGTCGAGAAAAATCTTCTTCTTCTTCCTCTTAAGGTCATTATTTACATTTATTCACTATTTGTGTTCTTTATCACGTGGTCTGGTTGTCCAGATGTGAGTAAACCAGAAAAAAAGAACTGTTTTCAGTGACGGGACGGTAATTATCATCAGTCTAGCGCGAGATGTCTTTACATGTGGATAAGACAATCAGGTTTGCTGATGAACCAAACCAGTTCCGTTTCCTCGGTATATAGCTTTATCCTTGACCCGGCACGTCCTCCAGTCCGCACATTCGTTTGCATATTCTTTCTTCACTTCGTTTTTAATTTTCAACCATCCTCCACTATGGACAGCGATTTTATCTCAGCTAGTTTCTGCTGGAGTTGCTGCTGACGATCCTCGTCGGAGAGTTCTTCGTTCTTCCAGCCCAGTTTGTTTGTGAGGTCGCAAAGGACTTGCGAAGCCTGACTGTAATAACTTGCCTGTATAAGAAATAATAAAAAGGTGTTTACGTCCAAACATCAAGCGTATCATCCTAAATTAGACCGAAACAGCCCAAAGCGCGGGAAAACGCGGGAGACCGAGTCGCAATCGGTTTTGGTTTGTAATCTGATTGGTTGACAAAGCGGCGGAAATTTCTGGACTAATCACATAACGAAATAATGCTTCCGGACGCTTTCTACACTTATTTGAAAATTACCATAAAGTATTAAAACGATCAATTATTTTCAAATTACTTCGTGCTTTTGGCGTTTACTCTTTTTCTTCGGACTTGACAGTTTCCTCATGTTATGCTTCCTGGGATGAATCCTAAAACAGGTACACATTTACTCACTCACCCCTGATCGGATCATGGCTTCAAATGAGGGTTCAAAGTAATCTGTCCTACCATCAATCAGTTGTGGTAGATCCTACGATAAAGGAACAAAATTGCATTGAACACGACATTTTTTCGCGCACCTGCATAAAACGTTTGTCTGCTGTCCTTATCTTTTGACATAGAGGCCCCAAGAGGACAAGAGATTCATATCTTCACGTGTTTGTTTGGTGGTGTTTGTTTTCTTTGATCCTCTAACCAGTAATTTGGGACGTATAGCCAATGAATAACGAGCGTCAGGGACGCGTTTTAACCCTTGAACTCCAAGACGTGATGGCTAATTCTCCCCTCTCCCTGCTACACATTCCCGTGTAAAATATTTTAGAGAATCTGATGTTGGATCAAGATAACAACTTATGCCTGATAAGTATGAGTATTCTCATCACCTGTTTGCTGGATGATGTATGGATATCATAGGGAGAAGTTACATGCTAATCACTTCTGGGATTTAAAGGGCTGGCCCTCAGACCCTTAAGTCTGCATCTTACTTCTCCTCACAACATCACCCCTGACTCACACATAAAGGTTAAAAAAAAGGTTCAAAAAAGAAATGATCACCGATAAAAAAATCTCGATTGTAAAACAATTTCTCCTTGTTAGCACCTTAGTAAATGCATACAGAACAGTATGGAGAATATTCATACAAGTGTAAAGGGTTTTGAGAGTCTTTTCATGATTCCAAGATCTGAATTAATTAGCTACAAAAGCAAGCAAACAATTAAACAGCAAACGACAATTGTTCCCTCCACTTACATCTGGTTTGGTGGATACAGATCCCATCTGGAGCGGAATGGGGAATATATCACGATCAAGTTCGTTTTTCCACATCAAAATCATGAAAATCATATCAGCGACATACCTCCAACATGACGGCGTTTTGTCTTTCATAATCCAGTTTGGCCGCTGCTAATGCTTGATTATTCTAAGTAAAACACAAGTATTGATTAACCTCAGTTATGATCCGGTGTCATTTAGTACTCCAATCTTCGACTGGTATTAATTCTTAACACTGCCGCAATGGCGATGTTAAAGTACAATGTAGCAAGAACATCACTCGGTTGTACGTCGTGTGCCACTTTTTTTTTTTTGGTTCTTACCATATTTTGACGTCATTTGTGATCTATTATTGAGCATTTGTTCATGGATTCTTTTTGTTCAACAGCTTACACAAAGAAGGATTGGTAAAAAGAGTGAAAGGTAGACAAGTCGTCGGCAATTACCGCATCCAGTTTAGCTTGAGTCTGTGGAGTTTTTTCTCTGTCTTGCAGCTTCAGCACTTTAGCTTGATATTTCTGATAATCCTAAAGTTAAAACGGGAATTGCACGTTCATCGAATTTAAGTAAAAATTTACAAATCTAACACAAAATAACTTGCTCTGAACATTTTCCTTCCGAGACCTTACGTGGCGCTTGGACAGGTGATAGATACTAGTGACGATGCAGAGTTGCAGTGGGCTATTGGTCAGTGCGGTGGACTCCTGGTCCAGAGATCTGGGTTCAAAACCCGGCTGAGTCAATATGTTGTGTTCTTGTGAAAAACAGTTTACTCCTACAGTGCCCACTCCACCCAGGAGTGTATATGGGTACCGGCAAATTGCCAGGGATGCATGATAAAATGATAAAGCCATTTGGCTTTAGTACAGACTTCACCTTACTCTTACCTAATGGTGATGCAAAGGCGTAGCAAGGGGAGAGGGTCCTGGGGTGCCCGTAACCCCTATCCTCCTCCTTTGTAAGCCTTTTTTAAGCGAAATACTTACAATATTCAGGTAACAAAAACTGGCGAGTACCCTCTGTTTGACACAATGTGACCCCCCACCCCCCCCCCCCCTTTTGACTTTGCCCCTATGTTGATAGGGTTGTTGAAAAAAACCAAAACGATCATCTACTAGGATATACATAGGGAACTTGTAACTCTTCAACTCCTTTGAATCAAGTCCTGAAGATACCATATTGAAATACAGGACACCCTATAAATGGTAATGTAACCCCTTGACAAAAAACGGCTTACATTGTAAAACAAAGCTATATCATATTTGTTACCTTTCGTGCTTAAATTACATGTCTTGTTACTCAGTGAATTTTAACCTATATTTTCAGCTTTCAGAGCAAAGGGAAAATAAAGAGAGATGTTTCAGGAGGAAAAAGAGCTCACAGACCTGAAGGGCTTGATCCCGTCTCTTTATTGCTGCATTCACACTTGGGAACACTCCGCTAAACCTGAATGTACCGTAAGGGTTAAATGCTATGATGAAGAGGAAATTTTTTGACAAACTACATGAAAGGCTAGTTACTAGGTCATATGACACTAAAATCAGAGAACCTCGTGCCATCATGATATGATGTTGTTAGTTAGTTTTTAGAGTTATAATTTGGCATTGATTTTGCAGTACCTCTAGTCAACTTCAAATAACCCACTCAAGTTGAAACTCTATAACTGTAAATCCTAATATCAGTATGCATAATCTCCATACTGTTCTCCATACATTTCTTCAGGTGCTGACAAGGAGAATTTGTTTCCACAATCAAGAGCTTTTTTAGGTTGGTGATCATTCTCTTTGTTCTCCTGACCTTAGCATTTGATTCAGGGGTGATATTGCAAGGAAAAGTAAGATATTAGTTACTTTTAGGGATCAAAAGGTCACTAAATTAGCTCCATGATAGGGTAAATCACAAAAAGATAAAACAATTCATATTTTAACCTTCCAGTGGTAACAAATAACACTTGCAGATCCTCATTATACTATAGCTGAACTGCCACTACTATATTATCACTTCAACTGCAACAATATTAGAGACTTTGAAGGAAATTAGGGCAAAAAATTATCTCCAAACTATTATTTTCTCCAAAAAGATTGTCTTTCAAGCTTCATGGTGTGCAGTTTCTTCCATAAAATAGCCTAATACCAATGTTAATCATTTTAATGATTATAATTTATGAATCAATAAATTATAAATAAATCATTAAAAAATAATAAATGACATTCATTTAAGGAAAATAATATAACCTAATGCAAATGCATCAGTTTGATCATATTTGTTACCTTGCCAGGTGACAAGTCAGAGTTGAAAAGAAAATTATCAAAGCTAGTTTGACACATTATATATTCAAGTTAATTTCACACACAATACTGGATTACCTGTCATTTCTTACAATAGGTTTCATCATCAACTACCCTGTTGATTTTTACTAAGCTAGGACAATTTGTACTCAGTCAATTGAGTTGTTTCATACCTGTACCAATTACAGGGTGGTGTAGGTTTTCAATTGTTATGTATGTTTAAAATAAGGTCAGTTCCTTATGCTAAATAGAAATACCACCTGCATTAATTAAGTTTGGTTTATATTGCCCCCATTTTTGATACACAGCTGATAAATTTTAGACCCAGTACCAAAAATGTGGGATCTGGGAGTCATAAGACAGACACACAATATATTTCCACCAGATACAGAGCATATTTTTTTTTAATAGAAATGACCATGGGTATGAAACCACTAGATACTTATTAACGACATCTGCACTGAGTTATTTAAACCATTGACAAAAAATACTCAGAATGCTTTGTAGCATTTATAATTGACATAAATGCTACAAAAACACCCTAAACATCAATTGTCTAAATCAGTCCTGAGAAAGAATCCTCATCAAAATGTTATCTGCTGCTGTCTTCTGTCTTCTGTCTTTCAATAAAGGCACCTAAGCTTACAAAACTAATTAGATTTCATGCCATTTATGTAAAATTCTACATGATTATGCACCTGACCCCTTAGATTGACTAGCACCTAGTAATTTCTCCTTTGAATATCACGCCTGGTCATGAGAACAAAGGAAATGATCACCAACTAAAGAAGCTCTTGATTGTTAAACAAATTCTCCTTGTCAGTACCTTAGCAAACATATAGAGAACAGTATGGAGAATATGCATACTGATATTACAATGAAATGAGTTAATAATTGTAAACAAGTTTATGCAATAGCAAATATAATGAAATAAAATCAGGAGATATATCAATAAATAAAATAAAAATATCATCCAAAAAAAAAAATATTACATACAGTGACATGAAATTAACCTTACTTTTTCATTGGATCCGTTATAGTCTTCTGATTTCTAACTGCCTGTTAGATGTAATTCAATATAAAAAAGGCAAATTTCAGATACGTTGAGAAATGTTATTAACTTAGATTGTTCATCTAATTTATGTAAATAGAATAAAACTCATAAAGTGTAACAGAAGTACTTAGCTGTAGAGACATAGCCAAAAAGGAGTGTCAGCACTTAATGTAAAAATCATAAGTTCAGAATTTGTCAATAACAATCAGCACATTATTTTTCCTACTTACTCACCAGTTCTTGTCTTAGCTCATCTAGCTTTTCTGCACAGGCTGTGCACTCTTGAACCTGAAAATAACAGACAAGAATCATACATCAGCAGTCAGGAGACATCAAATTAAAATGTAAACAATTCTTCTCAGAAACAACTACAATAATGATTGTATTCAAACAATAAAAATAACAAAAACAAATTTTATGTACATTTGACCCATGGAGAGAGAATATTATAGTTATTTCTTAATAAAGAGGGAAACAGTTATGCTGAAGCACAGCTGAATTTCAACAGTCACTTCAGGGCGTGAAATTGCGCCTAATACAGGCGCCAATGCGACTAAATTTTTCACTTTGGCGACCAAATCCAGAAAGTTAGTCGCCAAATTGGCGACTAGAACGTTTCATCATAACCTTACCAAGAGATATAGAGAATAAAAAAGATTTGAAAAGATAAATCCGCGGCAAACTTCCTCGTTAAGTTTGTTTCCAAAACGTAGCACATGCATCTCGATCGATAACTAGACGCCATCTTGGATTTAGATGAGCCTGAACTTTGTATATCATCCATCCTAGTGTCCACTTTGTAGCACGTTAAGATCTTTTCCCTAACTTAATTTTGGAGGGTCTATCTAGAACGCTGACAGCTTAAAGAAAGATTTTTTCTTTGAAAATGGCAACCAACTTTTTTTGAATTGGCTACCACTTTGAAGAATTTAGGAGCCAAGTGGCTATCAGAAAAAAAAGTTAATTTCACACCCTGCACTTGTTACATTGTAGTTTCCTAATGCCCCATTTGCAGCTGCAAAACACGTTAAGTAAAACTAGGTTTCAAACTGAATGAAATTGGCTGGTATAGAGACTGAAAAACTAAATCTTATACAGGATTCAAGTAGTCAGTAACTCTTTATTTTGATTGCATTAGTTGACAAACAACTTCATTAAAACTATTCATTCATCAAACTATTTGACAAAAGTGGTTCTTGTTTCAAACATTTTTTGGAGGGTACTAGTCATCTTGACTCGTTGTGTTTTGGCATTATTGGCAGCCCTCAGGTTTCCTTTTGAATACCTACATTAGTAACAGTAGCAGTGAAATACTATGTCTTACAGGTTCCCCAAACAGTTCTTCCTGAGAAACTGGACTTGCTGCAAGATCCTGGTAAATCCGTAGCTCAGATTTTGACAGGGCTGAAATGGAGAAGAAAGTAAAAAAAAAAAAAAAGAAAGAGTCAAATTTATTTATTCACCTCTTGTATTCCCAAAACTAGTAAGTACAAGTCAAATGATTCAATTCACCTGAAAGAGCATCGCCATATTTTCTTGTGTCCTTGTAAATTTTCTTTGTTGCTCCCTCTAATCTGAATGTAAATAAAAGAATTACTCACAAAACATGACAAATACAAATTTAAGAAAGATTTCTAACTACTTAAAGAGGGGCTTCTTCATCTGCTCAAGAAAATATAGGTGAGATTACCAACAAAAACAGGTGGCTAGGTGATAGAATAAATTATTGGTCTATCAACTCTAATTAGGAATTATGTATGGCTCAAAAAAATTGTGATGTGAAAGTTTTTAGTAATACTATATGACATTGGACGAGGTATAACAATTGATGCCTGTGTTCAGCTATAGTAAGATTGTTTTTGTTGAAATTCTTACTGGTTAAATCTTGCCACTTCCCTCTCAAATTCTCTGTCACCCTAAGGAAGGGAATAAACTATCAAAGATTGAAACCAATGTATATGTTGTCATAATTAGGGTTAGAGGTTATGTGCATGATTGTACTGTCTGTAATATAGATGACTATAATTCTTCACAATAGGCTTAGTGCTGCCAGAAAAACTGGATCATACAATTTATGAAACAGCCATGGTTATAGACTGCGCTTGTACCTAAAATCAATATTTAGTCCAAGTCTTGAATTCTAATTTCTTTGGTTGTTTATGACAGTTTCCAATTCCAGATATAGGCTTAAATGTAGGCTGCACTACACAAGAAAACTTCTACAAAACATTCTTTGTCATAAAGGAATTCTCACCCAAAGTGTGTTATACTTTCTTCTGACCCTAGTCTTCTTGCCAATGCAGCTAAACATTTTTCATAAACTAAATTTAATTCACACCTGCCTGTACCAAAACCTTTGAATATTGATGCTTCTGAGTTTTTGATATTCAAATGAAACTGATTGGAAGAAAGCTTTGTGTTTTGATTGTAAACAAAAGAATGTAAGTCTGAATTTCACTCTAGATTAGATATCTAGAATTTTTAAATACTAAACTGATGAAGCTCTGTGTTTATATAAACTGCTTTAGTCTTAAAATTATCATAAAAAAAGACCAGGAATCCTCCAACTGGAATAACACTTATTGACACTCTTGTTGAAGTTGGAAACAAACTTATTATTATGGCTGGTTAATAATTAATATGACCTATGTTTGGATAAATGGCCTCCAATGGGAAATAAAATGAATCTTAGTACATGTACTCCCATAAAAAAGAGGGGCTATATTACTGACAACACAAATACCTATATGTATAAATTTTGGCCATCAGTGAAGAATCAAAATGAGTCAAAGTTGAAACTGAGTTTTATTCCATCACTAAAACTTTGTGAAATTCCCAAATTTTTATTTGGTTTTGATGTCCTATATAATTATAAAAATACATATGAATGTTAATGTTCCATTTGGTTATTTCCACTGTAGGGCAAAAACCAGAGGTAATGAGAAATGAATAAGGAAACTCTTCGCAAGTGTACAGTATATAAGACTGAAGATGAAGTTTACCTTAACCCCAGTTTTACTTAACTTAGCCCTTTAACTCCCAAGATCTGATTGTTAATTCTCCCCTCTAGCTACTACACATTTCCTTGTAGATTGATTATGAGAATTAGGTGTTCAATCAATGTGATAAATTGTATCTGATGAGTTTGAGTGTTCTCACTACCTGTTTGCTGTGTAATGTATGAATACTATAGGGAGAAGTTACATGGTCATCACTTCTGGGATTTAGAGGGTTAATGATTTAATTTAGTGCCCATGTGCTTATTTATTTACAAATGCATGTAGTATCTCTGAGGAATGTGCTTATTTGAGGCAGAGCACTTCTTTGGGACAGGATGCTTACAAAGCTTTTGAGAAACAGTAGAAAGTGCATAATGAAACTGATATTTATTAAAAAAGGAACAATAACAGAAACTGAAAAAGAAACAAATATTCGGGTTGATAACATTACATTGGTAGGGGAATGTACATTGTACTCTTGTAGAGCTATCACTGAAACAGAACAGGGGCCTCTATTAGAATTGAGTGCTTACCGGAATGAAGGTGCTTAGTATGCTTTAGGGGAGCTAGTTAAAAACAAACAAACAAACAAACAAATTTGAGAGGGGCATTTACACGAGAGTGCCTTGTGATGGAACAAGGGTGCTAAATTGAATCATTATGGTCTTTGCAATTTGAGCAACCAGGCCCAGGCGCTCACCAGTGCCCCAAACAACTCTTGAAGAGTTACACCTTGGTTGGGGTGTGTTAAACTGGGATACTAGACTCTTTTCCAGGTTTAGCTCCTAATACTAAGGGAACCCATAGTTTTTAAGAGAAGTTAGGTAGGTAAGAAAACTCTGTACTGGAGCCAAATGGTCCATCCAGCCACAACAAACCCTTTAACTCCCATAAGTGACCAAGACAGAATTTCTCCTTATGATATCAACACAATATCAAGCAGACAAGTGATGAGAATAAAAAAAATATCAGTTAGAGGATTATTAGTTGATCCAATACCAAATTCTCTAAACTAACATCACAAGAACTGTATGGCAGACGGTAAGGTTAATTACTAATTAGATCTTGGGAGTTAAAGGGCTGATCCTAGTTTCCTCTACAAGCAGTTAACACTGGATTATTTCAAATTCTGGAAGGAATGACACATCTACATGTAGATTCCCAGGTTAAGGTAGAGTAAGCATGGAGAAATCAGTTAAAGTATAAGATAAAATGTCTTATTTGATACTGATTAATACTCTGATAACACCTGCTAAACAACCTTTTTAAACAGTGTAAGAAATTTGAAGCCAGGGGACTTTTCAACATAGAAAGCGTTGCTAAATATATGTATATAAGTAAGCCATCATAATCATGCTAAAACATAATTTTGTATAAGGACTCTGACCTATCATGCCTACTCTAATTTGTCAAATATCTCTCTGTCTCTCTTTGTTTATCAGCCCCATCTGAGATACGAGGATGAAAAGATGAAAATTCAGAAATAATTTGTACTTACTGTTTGTTTTACTGACGGCTTTGCTTTCTTGAATGGATTCCTGTTGTTTTTAAACCAAATTAAGCATCCTGTTAGTCAGTGGAGGGCACATACCAGTAATTTAATGGCAACATTTGATTCAAGATTTCAACATGCCGAATGATTAATTGATGAAGGCAAAGAATTAGATGCCTTTGAAAATCGACTTCCCGTGGTTTATAAACAGAACTGACATGCTTTACTACCTTTCTTCGACAAATCAGATACACAAGAAAACCAGCAATTTCACTTACCAGCTCATACTAACCAAATCACAAGAGAAACCCACAATCTCTCCTTCGCTCTATGTCCGCAATGTGTTTCGTGTTCGTGATGTTTTCGGAACTCTTCGTAAAGATATCGAGTCCCAGGAGTATCCATATAAGGAGAACATCGTCTCCCTCCGGCGCACGTTGTCACATGGAGTTTATGTTGATAGCGACTTCATGTGTGTGAACCAGACATGAAGGTCGAAGAGAGTGCGCGTGATGGAAAGAAGAAAAGCGTTCGTACTGTTGGAACAAGGAAAGAAAGTAACCTTCAGAGTACAGACCTAGTTGTAACTGTGCCGAATGAAAATAGTAACTCATCTCGCCTTAAACCTCCTGTTACTGCAAGTGAGCCCCGAAAGATAGTGATCAACCGAAAAACCGGTATAGTTTTCAGTTTGGAGTTGTGTTTTATCTAGAATTTTTGCTCACGATTTCTCATGTACTGGGTTTCCACTTATATAACAGAATCCACTGATTTGGAGAAAGTTACTGTTAAGTCTCTGGATGAAATCAAACGTGAAAAGCAGCAAAGAATGAACGACACTTCCAGGGACACTTCAACAGATGCAGCTTGTGATGGGAACCACGATGCCGTGAATCAGAATGACGAGGTCTGTGCTAGCAGCTCAGCAAGTGCCATTGACCCAGGTATGAACCGTACATATACGTCTGAAATATCCAAAACCAACAAGTGCGTTTGAAGAAACTGCAGAGTTTTCGAACAAATTGTGAAATTTGTCTCGAACTTCACTGAATGAAGTGGACATTGCATTCACAATCGTCTCGATTACTGCGAAATTTTTATTGTATGCACTGTATTTCAGCTTCTGTCGTGTAACTGACTCGTCAGTTTGCCCTTTGAATTGAAAAGGAGTAACATTTAACGCTGATTGCAGCAATATTGGAATCTCTGAAATGTGAAAACTCTGTAGAGTATTCTGCAGCTCAGCGGCTCAACGTTTGCGGTGAGGCGTGTATGCTTTCCCATCACACTTTCATCGTAGTGCTGACTTAAAATGAGCATTGTATTTTATTGGAGAAGCTCTCTGGTGGATTAGAAGCACCAGGGACTAAATGTGGTTTCCATAACCCATTTATATGGCTGTTACTTATATTTATTGAAGAAAAAAATAGGCAAGACTTCTGTAAAAACCCAACATTCCATCATGCATGCAGTTTAGTTAACCCTTTAACTCCCATGAGTGACCAAGACGTAATTTCTCCTTAAAATATCAATACAATATCAAGCAGACAAGTGATGAGAATAAAGAAAAAATGTAAATAAGGGGATTATTAAGTTAATCCAATGGCAAATTCTCAAAACTAACATCACAAGAACTGTATGCAAGACAGTAAGGAGAATTACTAATGAGATCTTGTGAGTTAAAGAGCTAAAGAAATACAGTAATAGAAATGCTAGACTTCCTAAAGAACTAAGGCTTTGTAATACAATACTATTGGATTACACGAAAGCAATTGAAAATATCATAAAAACAATTTTCCTTTTTGAAGAGAAAAAATCTGTCACATTGGATAACTGAAGATGTTTTAGCAAGACAAATCAGGATAGCAGCAAATACAGTACTCAAATACTGTACCTCTCTTTTCCTTGATGAATTAGACTTTGTATATGGTTATACTTCTAAGTAGATTATAAATTTTTTTTTCCATTTTTGAAGACCTAGTATCACTATCATTTGTACCACTAATTGACATATGCCGGCCCCAACATACTGTAGTTTCTCGTGTGTAAGGCACATGGTTTTTTCAAGAAATTTCTGGTGGAAAGTTAGTGCTGAAATTGAGGTTGTCTTAAAGCCAAGTATTTTTGGAGATAAAATCCACCTTCTTTGTCCATCCAGCCTTTTTTGTGCACCGAACCTTGCATCCTCAGAGGCGTGTTGATATTCAGTTGTTAAACATCTTTTAATATGACTTTTGGTTAGAGTTTTTGGCTGTTTGCTGTTACCATTAGAGCAACCATGCATCTTATAGCCAAGTATTTTCACTTAATTTTCAGTTTGGGAACTTGGCTCGACCAAGTTGCTAAGTTTGGGGTGCACCTTACAACCGAGAAACTATGGTATTACTTTAACACCATATCGTAGTTCTTGAAAAAACCCTTATGGACTGCACAAGGTATTTATGGAAACCGCTGACCCAGGTACTATTTTGACTCAAGTAATGGCAAAGAAGTAAAACTTTTTCCATTATTCAGCAGATAATGTTTGCAATGGGCCAGAAGTTGAGTTGAGTGGTACATATGAATCAGCTGGCAGTACCCAAACACAGTCAAGTGTTTTATCAAGTCGTCCTTCCTGTGTGGTGAAACCCAGACCGCCACTTAAAAAGTTAACAATTCCAATCAAAGCATTACCAGCTTCACTGTCACCAATAGGAAGTAAAACTTTTTTGAGCAAACATCCCTACAGTGCCTCATCCTCCAGGTATGAGTTTGATTGCAAAGATTTTAGGCTATTGGAAGGGTGTCTTTTGATGTGATTCATACTCTGTAAGGTCCAAGTGTCCCATGTGACAGAAACACAGCAAAAATATCTTAACTCCTGCGATCTACAGTAACTGGAGCTTGACTAAGTGAGATTGTCATTATGGTAGACTTACTGCATGAAAGCAATTTTAATTGAAGACTAAGCAATTTTGTGTATTTTTTGCTGTAAATGATTGAGCTGTGATTGAATGTTAGTAATAAGGTAAACAGTAGGTCAGTAACAAAGCAGACCCCATGAAAGAACAACATCCGTTAATCAAAATAATTATGGGGATGGTAATAAATTATGCTTCAGTTTGAAAATTTGAGCATTATGCTTGTGAGTGTCACCCCTGAAAACATGGCAGTATCTTGGAAATTATGATAGAAAGTTTTTATTATACTAAATTTAATAACTCAAATAATAGATTTTAAGAGCCCTCATGCTGGATACACTCCTTATTAAAAGTTTAACCAACACATAACTTCCTTGTTTTACACTGACTTGATTTCCCACTTCACAAGGGAGTCCAAATTAAAATTGTTTTGTGCATGATTTTATATAGCCTCAAGCAAGGCTCTGAGATGGATTTTGATGGCTTTCTCAATGATCATGATCATGATGGTGACGAAGTTGACAGTTATTATGATGAGGATTTCTTGCTTGAAGATAATGAAGATGAAATGCACCAATTCCATCCCTCTATGGACTTTACTGAAGTACCACTTGCGCAAGATAATGCTGAGGAGGAGGAAGAAGATGACGAAATATCACTGCATCCTGATGATTCCTTGTTTGATGAAGAAGATGACTTGGGAGTGAACAATGATGGAATGAGACAAAGGTGCAGTGTACACAATTTGTCCTGTATTAACTTTGATGGCATGCCAGGGCTCCATGAACGTGTCCAGAACCAAACTGTACATTTGCAATGCCTCTGTTTAATAAAATGGTACATGTATGTGTGCTCACATACAATGTTAAAATATTGTAATAATGGACAAAAGAAAGTGAAGGAAGAGACTGTGATGTTTGGCAGCAGAAACAATTCATTACAAAGTTGCTGAGACAGTTTCACTTTCACAATATTGACTGACTTTATACTGATTACTTTGAAATACATGTACATGTAACATCCTCAAACAGCAGAAGACAGTTAAATGATAAAATAAAAATGATTTTTGTGAGATGATTGTGCTACAAAAACCTGAAAAAAAAAGTTGAAAAAATTACATGGAAGCACAGTGGCAGTTTTGTCTCATGGAAAACAAGATAAGAGAAGTTAATGTCATTTCTTAGCAAGAAATGAGTTTGCTTTTGTGGAGATTCTTTAAGAATGTAAAGAAGACCTATTAAATTACTTAATTTTCCAATTTGTCAAATGAAAAACAAGTACATGTCATCATAGTAAGCTTTCTTTTTCAGCCCTAAAAAAAACACTTGTCATTCTCTTTTTTTGCTATACTGTGAGATAGATTCTCTATTGACCAAGCTTGTTTGGTGGAGATAGCTAGATATTAGCCTTGTTCTTTGTTTTTCATTTTTATACACTGAAACTTTGTCTCAGTCCATAAAAATGCAAAAGAAAAAAAAAAGAAAAATAAGAAGGCAGCCAATACCTAGCCATCTTGACCACTTACTTGGTCAATAACACATGTTTACATGCATTTTGATCTAGTAAAACAGTATTACATCTATATCCAAATGTGGAGTGAGACTAATAAATGTTTTCAAGGTTTATTCTATAATTTTTGCGTCAGTAACAATAACTATTGAATATTGATGCAAGTGCGATGGTGAAATGAATTTTTTCCAAATCATTTTATTATTAGGAGTACTGGAAAGAGAGCAGGAAGTGAATCAAGAGATCGAAGATTTCCAACAACTGGCACAAAACAGAAACAGTCACAAGAAAGTTCCAGTAGCTCAGTCAAAACTAAAGAAGAACCACAGACTGATAAAACTCAAGAGCAAGATAAGAATGAAGAGGCTGTCGAAGAGAGGTCCGAACAAGAACAAGCTTCACCTAGATCACAACAAAGAACTAACAGATCATTCACTCGCCAACAGGCTGGTAGAAGGACCAAGAGACCTTCAGCAGGAAGGGGTGCTAAGAGAAAGGGTGAGATGCAAGTGGGAAACAGCTTTTCAAGAAGAGGTAGATGCCAATCAAGGCTAGGCCCTAGGAGTTGTGTTGTTGGTGGGCCAGTTCAACCAGTACTTGGGATGCCAGGTATACCTTTGTTCAATACTGGGGATGGACTCCTCCCTTTACCTGGGACTGAGCTAATATCGCCAATTTTGCCACCTATTCTAAAAGCTAAAGCTGAACTAGAGGCAGCCATGAAAGATAATATAGCAAAAACTGTTGAAATGTTGGTAAATCCCCCACCAGTTCCAGGTGAAGTTGCATATGATGTGCAGGAGTATAACAGCTGTGGACCTCCTGTGCGAAGTGGCAAATTACCTCCGCGACATCAGCCTAAGAGATCTCACAGTAGTACCCAAGATGCCAGGCATAACAGAGTGTCTAAAAACTCCATCACTGAATCACAATTTCAACC